TCCTTCTCCTCCAGGGCTGCCACCTCCTCCTGTGACCCCGCCGGCATCTCCATCACCTCTGCCCACTTCCTCAGCACCTGTGCTCTCGCCACCGCCTTCCTCCGCTCCTCTGCTACCCTCTTCTTGCTCTCCTCCTCTGCTTTTCTCCACCTTTCCTCCTCCCTCTTCTTTCTCTTCTCCGTCTCCTCCTGGAGCTTCCGGATCTTCCGAATCTCTGCTTCTCTTTTTCTCTTTTTCTCCTCCTCTCTTTTCTCTTCCTCCCTCTTCTTCTTCTCCCTCTCCAGTGCTCTTTCCTCCTTCACCGACGCCAGTCCCATTGCTGCATGTATCTCCAGGACCATTCCCTCCAGCTTCCCCATTCTTATCTCCATATCACTCTCCCTGGTCTCTTCCCACTCCTTCCTGACCTCTTTCACCCCCTCTCTCCACTCCTTTATCTCCCTCCCCATCATCTTCGCCCTCCTCCTATATTCCAAGACCCTCTCCCCTTCCCCCCCCTTCTCCCTCAACGCCTTCCACCCTTTCTCAAAGGCAATCTCCCCCAAAAGTTGCCGTCACCCAAACCCATGCTGCCCCAGCCTCTTCGCCTCTCTTTCCTTCCCTTCTTTCCTCAGCCTGTCCGCTCTCCCGTCCAGTACCTGTGCCGCATGCACAAGTGCTAGCACATCTTTCTCCTCCCTCCCTACCCCTTTTTCATCCTCCTCTTCTTCTTCCCCCTCTTCCTCGTTCTCCCCCATCTCCTCATCGTCCTCTTCCTCCTTTCCCCTCTCAGCTCCACCTACCTTTTCTTTCTCTTCTCCTTGTTCCTCCACCCTAGCTACCTCGCCATAGCCCATAGGGCGGCATGCGAGTAATGAAATTAAAAAAAAAAAAAAAAAATCCACCCTAGCTAGCCCCGGCGCTGCTGCCGGCACCTCTGCCACCAGCCCAACGCCCAGCTGTGAATCTCCGATCTCCCATTCCCCCCGCTCCTATCCCTGAATCCTTCCCTCCTTCCTCCCCTTCCCTCGCATGGAGACCTGCTCCTGCTGCCTCCCCTCTCTCTCCTCCTTCCCCAGCTCATCATCACTCTCGTGACCCTAGGAACCCGTTCCTGCTTCTGGAAAACCACTAACGGTCCCCTCTTGACTGTGATACACTCCCTTGTCGCGTTCTTTAGAACTTCTGTCTCCCTTTCTACCACGATTCCATCCTCCCCCTCCACATACCCCCGGAACATCGCCGCATCCTTACTCCAGAGCTTTACGACCCTTGCTACCTCCGCAATCCCCGTGAGCTCCTCCGTCTTCACCCACTCCACCTCCTCTACTTCCCTCCTCGCTGCTGCCTCTACTGCCTCCTTTCTAATCACTTCGATCATATCCAACTTCCCATCATATTCTCCTCCCTTTCTGTGTGCCCTCTCTACTCTTTCTTGCACCGTAATCATATCCTCCCCCTCTCCCAGCCTCGCCAGCCACCAATCCTTCCTTTCCCATTCCAGGCGGCGAGGAGGAACTGCTACGACCCCCAAAGGGGGACAAGAAGGACAAGTACAAGGACACACTGAAGGAGTTACTGGACTGGGCGGGACGCTAGGGTTTATCTCTCTATAGTCTTATCTCGCATCTATTTCTACGGTCTTATCTCGCATCTATTTCTACGTTCTTATCTCCCATCTATTTTTCTATCTCATCTGCTTATTTCAAATGAACATAACCTCGCCATAGCCGTTAGGGCGGCATGTGAGTAATGATATTGAAAAAAAAAAAAAAAAAAAAAAAAAAAAAAACGTCCTATGCTGTACTTCCTATTACTAGATTCTGCTGAACGAAGCTCTTGATTGTTAACAATGCATTATTTGCTTCAGTGAGTGAGACTGGCTCTGGTTCCTCAAATTCACCTTTATCAAGCTGATCCTAATCCATTAGGTCTAAGTCTTCTGGGTCTGCCAGTTCTGGGCAATAGGTATCTATTAAGTCATAGGCATACCATAGTAGTAATCTCAACTACAAATATACCAAAGAGACAGAAGCCGAACTAGGATAAACACTACAGAAGCACGACTAGATAAATAACACTATCTGTTTGCCCAATCAGTATACCGAAATGAAAATTCTACCACCAAGCATAATCCTTGTTAGCGCCAAATATCCAATTTGACAGGTCTAGTTACTAGTTCATCTGGGAAACCGGCCGATGATATCATTATCCATCCAATAAATGAAATATCCAATAATGCCACAGGACTAAATTCGGGCCGACAAAGTTTATGCAAATGACAGGTTATCCAGTATGACAGGTTATCCAGTGTGACAGGTATTCAATATGACAGGTTTGTCTCTATATGGAATATATTCTTATACTAAGTAGAGTGGAGATTCAGCCATATAATATATGTTCGGGGCAAGCCATCTTATCCAGGCCACTCATGACTGGCGCGGGCCAGACCGTAACTGGGCAACTCATCGCTAAAGCGGGCCACTGCTCAATTTACAAGGATAAAAGACCAAAACGAGCCACGATGCATAATTAGATACATGAGTGGAGATGTTGCCACTTTATATTACATCATTTCTTAACTGACATGCATTTTTTATATGGCGTAACATCGCTTACCGCTGTTCACTATTTTTTTTTTTTTTTTTTTTTTATATATCATTAATCGCTTGCCGCCCTATGGGCCATGGCGATACTGTTCACTATGCCAGGACAACTGACATGCATACTTGTAGTGCTAGTTGAAGAAAAACCCGAAAGGGAAGGGGTCTTGCAAGGGTCGGATCTGGCAAATACAAGCGAAAGCACAGTAACGAATGCTGCTCCTCTATATGTATTTATCGGTTGCTTTATTTGTGTTACAAAGTGGCCCGATTAGCTCAGTGGTTTAGAGCGTGTGGCTTTTACCTGCGACTCCCATCCTTGTCATATGGGGCCGCAGCCAAAGGCACCTCAAGGTCGCGAGTTCGACCCTCGCATCGGGCTGTTATTTTTTTTTCTATTTTTTTTCCTTCAGACATGTGTTCGGCGTGCACATACGGTTTCTGTGAGGGGTGATGACGTAGATGTTATATAAGAATGTGATGTGAGGCATGGCTCGCTACGACTTTTGTAATTGACTGGGGCAATTGCCCTGCCATGGCGAACAGCTACAAGCGGGGTCACGTGAAATAAAAAAAAAAAAAAAAAAAAAAAGACTGGGGCAATTATGCATTGAACATTCCAGCACATGATGAGGGCTACTTTTTGATGAGGGCTACTTTTTTTTTTTTTGACCCTGAGGGTTGCGGAGACATCTGGACCGCGGACTTCAGGGGAGAGGGGGACGTGGAGGAGCGGGGGCGGGACTGGAAGGACTGGAATGTGGGGTGGGCGACGCAGAAGAAGGATGGGTTCGAGTCGGTGGCAGGGAGGGTACAGAGCACAGTTAGCTTCGTCATGCCGGAGGGGGTGGACGAGGTGTCATGGGGGGGGGGATGTGCAAGAACGGAGGTGGAGGAAGTGACGAGAGAAGGACGCAAAGGGGGAAGCGCGGAGGAGTGGGAGTCGTCAATCTTCTGGGCAACGCAAGGGGGGGGGGCGGTGTACACAGATGGCAGTATGAACGAGAAGGGGAGAGTGGGAGGGGGATTCTGGAAGTGGGATGGCGGGGGGGGGGAGGAAATGGGGACGGGGGCGACGTTGTGGGATGGGGAGGTGAGAGGGATGAGGATGGGGATAGAGAAGGCGGTCCCAGCACCGGCAAACCTGGTCATCTTGACAGACTCACAGGCAGCAATCGCGGCGGTGAGGAAGGCGGGGAGATTGGAGAAAGCACGAACCGGAGACCTGAGGAGAGTGGTGGATGCAGTCGCGGAGAGAAAGAAAAAAGGGGGGGACGTTAAGCTGATGTGGGTGAAGGCGCACATCGGTATTGCCGGCAACGAGGCGGCGGACGTGGAAGCGAAGAAGGCGGCGGACAGGGTAGGGAAGTCGGTGGTAACAGAAGGGGGGCTGCGGCAGAAGTGGAAGCGACTGCGCGCGGCGGAGAGAAAGGAAAGGGGGTACGGGGGGGGCGTAGTGATGGAGTGGAGAAGGGGGGCCGCAACGGCGTATACGAGATTGAGAACGGGAAAGGGGATGGGGAAGGAGTGGGAGGTAAGGATCGGAAAAGCGATGGAGGGGAGTGTATGTGAGTGCGGGGAAAGACAAACGGCGGACCACCTGGCGTTCAGGTGTGAGGAGGTGGAGTACTTGGAAGGATGGGGAAGGTGGGAGGATATTGATGACAAAAAGTGGATGGTGGAACAGGAGAATGGGGAGATGGTAAATGTGCTGGGAGAGTTTTTCGGTTCACTGAAGGTGTAGGGGGAGGGGGCGAATTTCCGTTTGTTAGCAGGTGGCGGGGGAAGAAAGATGTAGCTATTTTTAAGTGCCTCGGGGAAGTGGGGCGGGGAGGGGTTGATGCTTTTGTTTGTAGAGATGGCGGTGGAAGATTCCGGTAGATAAGCCTGCCTCCGGGCTTTGAGGGTCTAGACCCAGGGGCCCTGCCATGGCGAACAGCTGCATGCGGGGTCATGTGATATAAAAAAAAAAAAAAAAAAAAAAAAGGGCTACTTTTTTGTTTTTTTTGTCACGTTACCCCTACTTAATTGCATTTTTCTCCCAACTTTTTTTTTTTTTTTTTTTTATATATATTTCACGTAACCCCCCTTGCAGCTGTTCGCCATGCCAGGACATTACATTCCGCCTAGATACCTGCATTAGCTTAATCATTGCAAACATCCAACGATACCTGAATCAGTTTCTATTGATAACTTAAATAATGACGGTTTTAAATACACCCTGATTGGCGTCTCCCTCATTCCAAAACCCAATTAGGAAGATAGATACTATCATAACCCTCGTGCAAAAATTAGGCCAACGAGTGATCTCAACTAAAAATAGAGCCTCGAGTTTCCTCCAGAAAGTAGGTTGAACGTTATGAAGTATGGTTTAATCAACTTCCTCCGAGGGGTGGGAAAAGTGGGAAGATGTGGAACATGGAAGGTGGGTGCAGAGGCAGGAGAATGGCGAAGAGGTGAACATCCTCGAGTAACTGTTCTACTCCATGAAAGAAAGACTAGAGAGGAGGAAGGCGTAGGTGGGGACTCATGTAGATAGAGGAGATTTTGCTTTGATCTTGCCTCCGAGCATCAAGGGCTTCGGTCCTGGGCCCTGCCATGGCGAACAGTCGCAAGCGGAGTTACTACATGAATTTTTTTTTTTTTTTAAAAAAAAAAAAAGGGTGGGAGAAAATGCAATTAAGATGGATGAAAGATGTCTCCGAGCCTTTCTGGACTCATATAATTAAGTATTCCTATGCATTGTGTTGAGTATCTGGGCTTTGATGTGCACATATATACTATAGTACTCATGTGCCCAAATCAGCAGCCAGTGCTGTAAGCTATTCAGAAAATATCTCCCTATACATATATTGCTATTTCATGGCTTTAGATAACCTCTATTCATCTTCTTCTTTGCATAAACACTCAGTATTACCTTTACCGAAATATGTACAGTGTTTACTAGTGTATGACATTGGTACTCTGTGGGTATTAGTGCAGTCACAACCAAACTTGCTACACATCTTCAGAATAGGCAGTAGAGTATATATTCCGTACAAAAGACTTCAGGTAAGCTCTTCCACACATGGTGACTCAAGCCTGGCTAACATAAGAGCTAGATATATACCTGAATATGTCACCACTCATACACTATAAGTTGGTTAAAAGAGGATGCAAAAATAATTCACTATATTCTCCCATGCTCTGACTTTAATTTGAGCCTACTTGAGGGCCATTCTCATTCACATGAACTTTATCCGTTGTCCCGTAAATTTAGGCGGTTTCTTGGTGATGGGCGGTTTCTAGGTGAAACACTCCAGTGACAATTCGGCCAGATCAACCGATAGTTGCAGCTGGGCAATAAAATATGGGTCGGGCACAGATGTGTATGCAAGGATCTGACGGCATGGTTATAGCACAGTGTAAGCCACCGGACGGATTTTTTTTTTTTTTTTTTATATATATCATTACTCGCGTGTCTTTTTTTTTTTTTTTTTTAAAAAATCACATAACCCCGCTTGTAGCACTTGGCCATGGCAGGGTATTACTCGCGTGTCGCCTGTTGGATCCACCGGACGGAACTCTAGGAGACCTCCAGGAGCAGCGCCACTGAATGGACCTCGATGAGGTCAGGCAGTGGCTGAAGGATATTTATAGATAGAACATAATATCATAGCAAGTTGGACAATAGATTTTTTTTTTTCTCTATATCACTTAATCGCATGCCGCCCTATGGGCTACGGCGATGTTGGACAATAGATGGAAGGCACGCAGGATTGATTATAAGAAGGGCCAGCAAGAGCTGCCCTCTCGAAGGTCAAGCACCAAGCGTTGTCCTAAGCTACACCCTCATATCTACTACATTGTAGAAACCGTAACACCCTTCATTACCCGGAGACAATTCTGTGACACCGAAATGTGGGCCGGATCACCCATGGTACCTTATATCTTTCTACACAACTCCACCGTAGCTGCATGGAACAAATGCAGACAGTGGACCAAGTGCGACAATACACACATTGGGTTCTTAATCGGTCTCCATTACATCCTTCTCAGTCGTACCCACCTGCTTTGCTTTGTCTCTCCTTTCCCCTATCCCACTCATACGCATCCCATTTGTATTTCTTACCCCTGATGCGCAGAGTCTCCGGTATTTGACTAGTCCTAGCTGACTCTATCAAGTAAGGAATAACTGAACTAGTGATCTTTCCCTTCTCTCCTCTCTTGCTTCAACAGCCATCGAGCCCCAGCGATCTTTGTGTCCACTTCATTACCCACCTTTATCCACTTCATAAAATTCTCCAGTCTCTTGGTCACTGCTATTCCGTGAACTACTACTGATGTGGCAGATCGTAGTTCTGGCCTATTTGGTAAAGGGGTTTGCTCTTTGCAGTGGAAGCGGCCCTGGAGGTAGTGGCCTTTGCTTTGGGACAGGCAGGCGGGTCTCTCTTCTTGAGGCTGCGGTAGGCGACATGCATAAGCTACTATTCCCATCCGGGGCAAAAGAAGCGACGAGGAGAAAAACTCGGATCCCCCCCAACAAAGCCAGCCAAGCCCACCCCCGCCACCAACACCTCAAGGTACGGTATAGTGGTTGACGGCGTGGCCCTGAGGAAGAGCTTAGGGAACGTCCAAAAATAACTGGAATCAGCCAACAAAGACCTAGAAAAAATCTCTGGGATCCGGTGGTTGAGGAAAAAGGAGATCCTCGTGGAGGAGGGGAAGCTTACCAGCTCGTGGTGGTGTACCTTGAGGAACAGATCGAACCAACAGTGGGCGGAGTGAGATTGGGAGGGAAATGGTTAAAGTCGTGCGAGTATGAATGACTTTTTTTTTTTTTTTTTTTTAAATCACGTAACCCCGCTTGCAGCGCCAAGCCAGGCAAGCCCTCAAAGCCCAGAGACAGGCTTAACAAAGAAATTTCTATCTACTTCTAAAACCTGATTCCAGAAACTTCCGGACGGTTCTTCTGGTTTCTGCATCAGGGAAGCTCCCCTATATCTCTCCACCTCTCCCCCTCCCTTCTCCTCCAGAGTATGAATGACAGGAGACGGACTTGAACCTTTTCTTTTCATAAGCCTGTAACACAGAAACAATCACGGGCAACATCTTTTCTTTTTCTGCTGTATTTGTTACTTCCCCAACACGCAGGAGGATCCGGGGATTTCTACTATACTCTTTTCTTTCCTTTATTCATATGTAACTAAACACCGCCATCTCGCCATAGCCCATAGGGCGGCACGCGAGTACTGATATAAAAAAAAAAAAAAGAAAAAAAAAAGCTACTATTACCATGCTGACGCTGGACTCAGATGCCACAGGTCACGTGGGTCTACCATGCTGACGCTGGACTCAGATGCCACAGGTCACGTGGGTCATATGGCTTTATATACAATGTTG